CTGAACAGAATGTTTGAAACCGTGTCTACAAGCACCCATAAAACCAGAAGTGGAAGGTCTGCCGGTGAAGCGAAGACCCCTGTCTCTCTGTCCCTCCAGCCCTAACCCACCCCGTCCTCCCCTTCCCATCCCACCGCCTCCCCTACCGCTCGCCCGCCACCACGTTCGTGACAGTCGGCAGTTGACCGTACTTCAGCTACCCGGCAATCACACGGCACTCAGAGCCGCTACGGACACGGGTGGATCCCGGGACCAGAGGTTCACCGCGCTTCTGGGCGCTCCTAGCAGCTTCGGCCGCCGGCGGGGTCGGTGCTACCTACCACTGCTGATGGAAGGACATTTCAATCCTCTTGGTCGATCTCATCAGTGAGGACTGCGATCAACTGAAACGGAGTGATGATACGAGATGATGGGGCGACAAAACAAGCCAGCATGGGTTACGGAGGGGATGCTGGTGTCGCCTCGAGTCGAAGATTGAAGAATATATTTCAACAACTGCCCACAACTTCTCTCCCATCAAAAAGCATGGATCTATATCTGTGAGATAACGCATAGTGCGTAGTAGTCAGAACTGCGCGACAGCTTGTAACGCCATACGCCTCTGCCGATTTCCCCTAGCTCCCATTACCCGTGTCTCTGGAGCGGGTCAGGCTTCACGTGTCCGAGTCACGAGCCGCGCTGGGCTGGAACCCCCTCCCTCTCCTTCCTATTCGCTTCTCGCCGGGCGCACAGGCCGGGCAAGCAATCCGCTACAAGCACGAACGGCTTGATCTGGATCAGTATCGATTAAGCCGATTGGGATAAGCCGCCAAACTGTCAGCCAAGGCTAAAACCGTCAAGCCTTGATCGAGCCAAACTGCAGTCACCTACATAGTTCAATCTCATGCCAGGGGTCGGATCCTCTCACCAAAGACACCATCAGCAAGCGACACAACCACACCCGACCAGACAACGCGTCACTTTCTCCAACCACACTCCAAACGACCCAAAATCCCTCCAGCGCATCTCCCATCAACCTCAGGTTACCACCTCACATAAAACCATCGCCGGAGACTCTCGACACGAGAGCTCCCACTCGGTGGGACGGTTCGGTTTTCACTGGGCCTCTCTCCGGCCGGAGTATCCCGTCCACAATCGCCGCGAGATCCACTTCAGTCCGACAGCATCACGAGAGGTTCCACTCACAGGTCTCTAGGTGTTTTCACCGGCGGGAAGCATGGTCTTCTCGTGGGAGGAGGCGCTACTGCTGATTCTAGCACGCAGCGTTAGCGTTCCCCGATGTCGTTCTCTAGCCATTGTTTTCCCCGAGGAAAGAAAGAATCACACTTCATTCTTGGATTAATTTTCTTTCATTATACCCGTTGAAGGTCCCATGTGTTCAAGGGAATTTGACTTCGTCTCAAGATCCCCATAGCGTCTCAATATCTTTCCAAAACCACTCCACGTCACCCCATCCTCTCGGGCACCATCCCCCACACAACGTCACACACTGTCGCTGGACCATCAGGGATCTCCCCAGGTCATCCCAGGTCACCAGAGGTCACCTCAGGTCACCGCAGTCACTCATCAAACACCGGTCGAGTCGGACAGAGGCGGAACATGGACCCAGCCCTGTCACGCGCAGCGCGGTCCCACGCAGAAATTCGCATGCATTCAGGTCACACTTTCGAGCCAGGCCCAGAGGTGCTATGGCTGTATGGCATGCACTACAGGGTGGGGAGGCAGTCATAATGAAGGGCGGTGGTAGAATCATGGAACAAAATGTTGAAAAATGCAAGCAATATGTATACATACATATTCCTCACAAACCAGCAGCATTCCGCCCTTCACCCCCACTCAGTTATCCAATTATCCAGCATTCCGAAACCGATACCCTGGTAATCAGCTCCGATTGAAGTCGAAGTCAATCCAGACTTCCGCGAAGGTTTACAAAAATATTGTCTGGCTAGATCAGAACAGCGATCAGTGCAGCTAAATAGGTAAGGCAAATGTCTGGCATCGACCAGATGTCCATGACATTTCCCAAAACAGTACAAAACTCCGTTGACCGGGTATATACCTTGCCTCAGCGAGCATCGACCTATAATGGGTGAATGAATCATTGAATAGGTACCGTTTCCAGAAGTGGCCGTAAAACACGGATGATGAATCGATAGTTCTATCGGGCCATTTCGTGGCACATGTTGATGATTGATGACAAGCCGAATATTGATGATGAAAAACAGACTTTCCACTATATAAGTTGAGAATTCTGTACATGATACTGTCCTATCCGATATATACGCATCTAATAGAAAACCCCTGCTGATGAAAGCCACTCTCAGATTTACACTCGAGCAATATGCGCCCGCGAAACCAGCAACCTGATCTTTTGCTCTGCCCAAACTGCAGGCCGAGAGGTCCCCACTCCCATCCACCTCCATTCCACAACACATCCCACTCGTCCATCTCCCGACTCCCACCGCCAGCCAACCGCGTCCCGCCACCACCCACCGCTGTGATAAACGCCGCCCCTGCACGGGCCCAGGCTGGTGGCACAGAGTCGCATCGCGGACGGACGGGGAGACTAACAAAAACCGGCCTGGAGCCGCCAACGGGCAGCGGGCAGACGCGGCGGCAGATGGTCTGCGGTCGGCGGACCATGGTCTCTGCGGTCTGCGGTCGGCGCCGGTGGACAGGCTGGGCGGACGGTGGGCGCCGGACAATACACAACAAACAGCCCACGGCGCCTGCCAGGCAACAGTCCGGGCCTATTGCCTGAAACGAGCGTTTTGTAACCAAATAGTATTCGCTATCACATGAAATGTCAGTGGTGAAAACGCGGCTCTGTAACCTACCCAATAAATCGACACTAGTACTACAAAAGCGCCCTAACATCAGTGAAACAAGACGACAGAAACGAAAGCCAATTACCCTGTCGGCACGGCGCGGCGGTCGGCGGCGTTTCTGGTGAAAGGCGCCGCCTCGCCCGGCACGCCGCGCGACTCCCACCACCGGTACGGCACGCACCCCCTCCCCTCCGCAGCGGCGGCGGTACCCGAGCGGCGGCAATTTCGCCGCGCTGACCCGGCGACCCGCGGCGAAACTGGCGCACTCCGGCGACCCCACACACTGCACTGCGCTGCTAGGGTCGGACTCGCGGGCTGGCGATGTGGTTTTCAACTTCCCGGGTCGGACACGACTTGACATTGCGGGAATGGGATACCCACGCTAGGAAATGACCACAAAATGGGCAAGATGCGTGTCATTCGGAATCGATCATACGAATTTCACGTCATTTCGTAGAAAGTTATTCTAAACTTACCATTGACACTTTCCTCGAAAGGGGCACGCAAGAGCGATATCTAAAGGAAGGACTGGCTGAAGATTGCCGACGAGTATTGGAACTTCGCAGCATTGAATACTCATTATTCACGACACAGTCCAAGCCAGCCCCACGGGCACCACTATTAGGCACCTCTAGCAGACGAATAGCCACGCAGACCATCAATCACCCACTGAAGCAGAGAGAGTGTTGAAAGGGCCAGCCCGGGCCGGGGCGGCGGCGGCGGCGGGTGGGGCGCAGGTGAGCCATTTGACCTGGGGTTAACCACGCCAACAAAGCGCGCGCCGGGAGCAGGAAATGACAGCGCCGGCGTCGGCTCCCACCCGGAGGCCACTTTCGCCGGCTGAGCACGGCTGAGCGACGCTCCACACGGCGCGGAGGGCGGTCCCGTACAGAGCAGTTATAGGACGGGCAAGCCGGGGAGAATGAGGAGGATGCTGGAATAGTAGTGAGCGGAACACTACGCGTGGAACAATTCTAGCAACACATCGGGGAATTCAGCATGCAAAGATGTAAGCAGACAGCCAAGCACAGGAGCAAACTGATAGCATTTGCTCGCAACCAGAACTGAATGAAGCCTCATGTACAACGAACGGAACATCTGGCAAGATAATGAATGAAAGCCTCAGGTGGGGCTGAATGAAGGCTTAGCTGTTCCCTCACCGGCACCGCTACGGATTGCACAAGCCCCGTCTGCGGCGAGGGAGAGACAGTGATCTAGATTGGACGCTCTACTCGGCGGCGGCTGGAGTGAAGGTGACTGTCGCCAAAACGACACAACAGCGGGAGGCTTTGTGATACACCGAGGACAAAAAGACGGGCTCGGGATCAGATGAGCGATAATACAGTTAAAGCCGGACCCACCTAGCTGTAATGTGAAAGCGACTGGCTATGAAAAATGAATTCATGAAGCGATTGATCTATTACAGCATAATGCTCTGATCGTCGGGCCTATGCAGTGACGGAGATCTCCAGTCCGCACCACATTCAGTTCCGTCATCAGTCTGCGCATCCTCCATTCCTGCAGACTACCAACGGATCTGTGCAGGTAACTTCAGCTATAAATTGCCACCGTTCATAGCTCCTCAGCCTCTAACCGTCACCCCGGTCCCACCGTCTGTCTCCACGATACCCCGCGGCGTCCCCCATTCCGCGCTAACGCACACCCACTCCCCGTGCGGCACCTCTCACTTCCTCCGCCTGCGGGCTCGCTGCGCCACGGGGGGTACGCGACTTTCACACGCACACGCGTACTCAGACAGGTAGGGCGGCGACAGGTGTACGCAGACGCGGCTCACCGCACCCAGCTGCACGCTCAGCTGCGCGGACATGGCTCCAAGGCATACGGACTTCTGTTACATCATCGTGCTACTGATTTATGAGACGAGGGTGACTGATTGCAGAGTGAGTTGACTGATGAGGGTAGAGCGAATATGGGTCCTTTAGCGGAGAAGGATCGCTGACCCTTGCGAGATTTACTAGCAGGACCATACATCATAAATCAGACGGGTGATGGTGTGCAATGGAAAGCCATTTCAAGAGCCTTTCCACGATTGCCGACCGACTGACCGCATCCTGTCCCATCACGGCTGATACCAACCTAGCCCTCCTGGTAACGTCACAATCCCTACCCTTCCGATACTAGGCTCTATCCCTCTCCCACCATCGAACTGACCTGGTAGACTGGTGCAGAGCTGCTGCGTCGCGCCCGCCTCATGTTCCGCCTGACCCTGCGTCAACAGGATCTGACTGTCGAGCTCGTGCAGCTCGGCCTGCAGCTCTTGCAGCTTGGTATTCGCCTTCTTCACGATGCTCGAGACGTTCTGCAAGCTCTTCTTGTCGCTGGTGGCCGTCCGCAGCTTTTCGGCGCCCTCTTTGATTTTGAGCTCTCGCCGGATCTCGCGTTTGATGTACTCGCGGAGTTCCTCGAGCTTCTGGGGCAGCGCGGCGTCGGATATGTCCGGGGCGAACCCGTACTTCTGTCCGAGCTCGTGGAAGGCGGACTGGGTGGCACAGTCGCCCTGAAACGACACAGAAAGGGAGACAGGTCAGTATAGGACTGCGGCAGAATCACGAGAGAAAAATATGCTGGGGCGAGTTAAGGTAATATCAGAGGATGGTGCAGTCGTTCTGGAGCAGAAAAGGATGGGACGGTTACCCCGATGCTTATTTTCGTTTGACATGGCAGTCTGAGCGCCAAACTATGCAGACCTTCTAGTGTCGAAACTCCGCGCGGCATCGTGACATGGCAGAGACTAAGTAACGCGAGCAGTATGGGAGGCATACCGCTTCATGTCACCGGCGTGACAACATCCTGGGAGACCTACACCACTGGAAGCACCGCAGACATGTCGCAACAGGACCGCACGCGCCGCCGGGACCATTCCACGCGCACCGGCGTGACGTGGAGCATCGCAAGAGCGCCGTGAGGAGTCGCAGTCCAGGTTCTTCAATGACGCAGAGTTGTGCAACTTCCCATCGTGATGACGTGGTACCGGGACCTGAGCTGAGCCAGCTCCCATACCGAGCTACACTGAATCGGGCGAGGGCACGGGCAACAAACCAGGGCGCGGTGCCACTCCCGTCGCTGTCGCAAATGCGCCGCAATTGGCGTTATTTGGGAGTGCATGGGGGCGGTCGAGGCTGCGGCGCACCGCCAAGGCTGCAGTGATTCCCAGAGGTTGAAGGATGGGGGCTGGGAGGGAGTGGATGCGTCATTACAGGTCACGGCGAGGAGAAAGGTGGATGGAAGGGGTGGGGTCTCTGGAGGCAATGTCGCAAACAAGCAGCATTTGGGGCATCAGGGAGAATTGGTGCGAAAGATGTTTAAATACATGTTTAACTGTATGTAGGCTTGTTGAGAATATAGGAAAAAGTGTTCGTGAAATATTCCATAGCAGATTTTTTTAATCGCAATATATAATTTGCGGCGCAACTGTGGGCAACAGTTAGATCCATCAACGTCCGGTGCAGGTTGAGCCACAAGCACCAACCACTTCTCCCTCGCTCTGGGCCCAGGGAGAGGAGCCACCACCCATCTCCACCCTCGCCCAGGGCTGAAGGGAGCCCCTACTCACATCCTCCCCGGCTCGTGGCGGAGGGGAGCCACCACCGCACATCTCCCTGGCTCGTGGTAGAGGAATGCCCCCACCAACCACCTCCTCCCTCGCCCATGGGCAGGAAAGTCGCCTCCTCCCTGGCCCCGGGCGGCTGGGTGCCGCCGCCTCCCGCCGGGCGCTGGCGACGGTCCGGTCTGGTCCAAGTCCGGTCAGCCGCCTGCTGGCCGGCTGGACGGTCGGAGCAGCAAGGTCACGGCGGCCGGAGACCGCCCCCGCGCCGCATACCTTCCAGCGGAGCCACAGCGGCGAGACCGGGACGGGGGGACGGGGAGACGGAGAACGGGAGGCAACGCAAAGAGGAAACGAGGGAACGCAAAGGGAAAATAGTAGACAGGGAGACAAAAAGCGGGAGACGATAGGTTTAGATGATCAGGAGGAAATGGATCACACAAGTAGCCGGTATATGGAAACGGATATAGGAAAACGATGATAATGAAGTAGGCTACAAGGCGCCCGGACTACAGAACTCTTCGACGCCCTTACGGGAGAACCGAGGGAGGGGTGATGAGAGTGAGACCCTCGATGAGATAATAGGTGGGGGGAGGCGGAGTTGGAGACGAGACAAGAACATGAGACCGCGCTCAAGGCTGATGCAGCGTCCCAGATTTCGAACATCAGACAAGGTGAAGGGGTGACGGGCGGCAGAGGCCAGACAGAGCTGGTGTCCATACCGGGACAAAAGGGGCCGCCAAAAGAGTTGTCGATTGGTGCCGCGAATGGGCTGAAGAAGCCGCCGATACCCCGATCAGTGTTCGGGTTTACGGTTAGTCCGTGAATCACCGTGACCAACTGAGGCCACTTACATGGGGCGCAGGGAGAGGCGACACGGTGATGGAACCATTAAAGAGCTGCCTGTACCCCTTGAGCATACGAAATAACGATGTAAACAGCATTCAGCCAAACCCAGCAGCATGATGTTCGCCATCGCCTTACATGACGAAGTTAGATAAACTAGAAGTCTAAGAGAGTGATACAGTTGCATCACGTTTAGAGAATCCTGGCTCCATAGAATCGTCAAGAGAACCTTGTCCAGAACAAATAACCCTGTCCAGAGTCCAGTGAGCGCTGTCGGTCCGCCGGTGACAGGAGAGGACGGCTCAATCTCCCGACCGGGGGAGGTGTGACGCGTCGACCGCCCAAACCGGTCCTGTCCAACCACCACCCCACTCCACCTCCCGCAGGCGGCCGGAGAACGGGACGCCGCCGCGCCACGCGCTCAGCGTGAACAGAGAGACAGAACGGAGCGAGAGAGACGAGTCCCAGATGGACCTGTCTGCCATCGAGCAGCTACAATCGGTCACTCGTGAGTTTGTGAATACATCGAGGGTCAGTCAAGGAAAACAAATATCACCGTTCAAATATTCGCCTAACGGACGTCACACTTGACTAAGAATAATACAATGGGATTCAAAGCTTGAAGCTCGAAGAAACTACGAGAAACTACGAAAGCTCAAGGCCCCACACTGTCCCACCACCCGCCTCTCTCCCCGTAGCGACCAACGGCGGGCGGCGGCTGGCGCGCGCCACGCGGCGCCGACCGTTGGGGAGCCACCGCCTCAGGCAGAGAGCCGCTCAGGGGAGTGGGCGGCGGCGCGGCGTGGCGATGTGGCGGACGACCTCGCCCGGTCTCTGACCCGGCCGGGCGGCGCTGCTGAGCTGCAGAGCTGCACCGGAGAGCTGGCGCAGCCCCGAACAACCGGACGGGCCGCTGACCAGCGGGCGGTAGGAAAGCATAGGATAGGAGGGCAGCGGAGGATGATCGGGGATGGTCGGAGCTGCTTTCTAGGGCTCATAAGAACGACTGTCGATGAGTGGCAACGATCCATACAGTTTGTTCTGTGTATCGGCCCGCCAAGGTGCCAGATCAGAGAGAATTCAACTGTAAACTTTTGTGAGGCACTCTTGCCCTACGACTCGTCACCTCTATCCAACTCAACGTCAAAGTCCAGCTGGGTGGTCGTATGTTGTCTCCCCGTCAGTAACGTATCCGACAATTATTCCTCTGTCGGAATACCCGTCTGTGCTCGCGTGACGCTCCACCCGCCCATCACCCCATCCCAGTACCGATCACGGCCAATCACAACACATCACACCGAATCACAACATGCCGCGAACACGGCAAAACAAGCCCAGCTTCCGCCTCTGACGGCACGACGCTCACGACCTACACGACAGATAACAGAATCGACACACAGCCGGGGAGGACAGCTCTACACGACCGACACAGCTGCTGCGGGCCTCGGGTCAACGTCATCCTATCAGTCGCTGGTGGGATGTTCTCTCAGTCTAAGCAGTAGCGCTGGCCTTCCCAAGACGTCCTTAGTAACAGACCAAGCCCTCGCCGCCGCCACCGCGACCACAAGGCTTGATCCGTCGTCAATGGTATTCAAGAGCCGTACTAAACACAGTGAGACGACACGAGAGCGCAGAGCTCACATGACGTCATTGATGGGACCGGTGACGTCATCGAACCTAAAGCCGGATGACATAGCCAAAAAAGCGAAGCATTCGAAACGCCAATTTACAACCAGACCAGAGAAACCATCAGTGTACGGGATGGGTTCTTGTAAGCGTTTATAGGGAGACCGACGATAGAAACCCGCGCACACCGCCGTAGAAAGAGAAAACCCATTACATTAGGCCAGTGGTAACCAAGTCATGAGAGACGTCACTCCACCAAAGTAATTTGGACGCGGTTAAAACATCAAAAACAAATTAGAAATCACCACCCAATGACACTCATGAGCTCGGACGAACCATTGTAGGATCATCAACCACTCTGTTCGGGTGAAAGAGACCCGGATGAAGGATTCCTCACCAGGGTAAGATCTCGGTCTGGCGCGTCCAGAGAGCGTCCGGCTAGTGAGGGCGCATTTATCACAGTTTAGCCGCCAGACGGCCATCGTCCACCGTTCGGTGGCGGTGACGCTGACCGCGCGTGAGAGACACCGACGACAAACGACAGACGACAGACAAACGACAAGTGACAAACGACGGGACGGCAGTAGCGCTCCCACGGGTTAACCACACCCGCTGCCAGAGGTGGTCGGAGAAAGACAGCGCACGAGCCAGTGCGAGCTAGGTTAAATACTGATACGGGATATCGAGACAAACTATGGAAAGCAAAGCATCGCCAAGACTGGACGAAGAGTGCTGATTGAGATCGAAGCTTAAGACTGGATTCTTCCCAATCATCCCCATCCCTCAAGACACCCACTAACGAGTAATTCCGATAATTCCATCCCCGCAACCCGTCCACCGTCTAATTGGCTGTGTCTGCGTTCGTTTACGAGGTCCTCGCTCTCCGCGTTACGTTCCTGGGTCACTCCACCACGGTCCCGCCGGCGGAATGCCGCCCGTCCGGACGGGTCGGTCGGTCGGCGCGCGTCCAGCTCGTCCAGCCCGTCCGGCTCCCTCCGCGGCCCGGTGCGGCCGGCAGGACGGGTCAGACGGGCGCGAGCCACAGGATCTGGGACACGCGTCAGGTCGGAATACGGAGAAACGCACCAACCGGGGTCGGAACAGGCCACAAACTACTGACACGGTAACACGGTCACAGAAACAACCAGGTCTATGTGTAACACAGCTCGGGCACGACTAACAAACACATAACCACTTCTCACCAAACACGTGGTCACGTCAGCTGAACACACGGAAACACAGACACACGCAAACAAACAACGCACAGCGGAAAGGGGCGGCAGACGGCGCCCCGCGGTCCCATGACGGACGAACGCGGGTGTTCATCACGCACACACACAGTGCTGAGTGTGGGAATACAGGCGCTTCCGGCCCCTAGCAGAGGCAGGCTATCAGGAAGGATATGATGGGACGGGCATCATCGGGGATCTTATTCAGCTATTCAGGTAGAATAATAATATAATTCCCGTGAAGCATCTCGACGATCATGCTTGTATTTTTGTTGACATCATTATTGAAGACAGAAATGCCTCCAGTTGATGGCAACAATGCGTAGCCAGATAAAGAAAAAACGGTGGAGGCGTTCCCTTACAGATAGCTTAGCTCCAAATTTCCTGGGGCAGTCCACGCCTCTGTGGACTGCGCACATCCGCAGCCAGCATCCTCCCTCTCCCTCCCTCCGTACCTACCGCCTGCCACCGCGGGGCTTCAGCCTGACACCCGATACGTCACGATATGTGACGGAGCGACACGTAACGCCCCATCGCCGGCGTGACTCGGCGTAACTCGAGGCGGTCGCCGTCACCGGATCAGGGGCTGTCACAGCGCTGGAGGCAGGTCGGCCCGGCCAGGGGCGGATATGTGCTTCCGCTCAATATCCGGCGGACCGGTACGCCATGCAACGTATGCGGTAGCATGCGATATTTGGTAGACAAGAGTGGCATGTGTTGCGATTTATGAGGATTGGGACTGTGGATGTGAAGACTGCGGTAGTCTATCATCCGTCAATGTCAGACGCCATCAGAATAAGAAAAGGCTGCTTCAACTATGCAGATAACGCCGTAAAGTATCATGCATGCGTCTTATTTGGGAACTCCGCTGGGATTTAAGTGCCCAGCTTATGTCCAACAAACCGCACTACAGCAAGTAATTGCACCAGACAAAACAAAACCACCTGCTGATTGTTTCATTGTGAGAAGTCGGTCCGACCTGACCCTCAGTTAATTGGAGGTTTCGAGCGCCACAGCTCGGGTCACTGCACGCCTGGGACTTGACCCCGTAACTGAGATATCAAATTACAATGTACCGGGCGGCGCGCCCATGACAGACCTGTCAGCGACACTCCAGTCAGCTGTCTGTCAACCTGTCAGCGTCGTGTACGAACCGTCACCCGCCAGTCACGGCGCACAGACTCGCAGGCGACAGATCACAGCTTCACGGCAAGCAGCTGTCACTTGTGGTCAGAAACTCTCACGTTCAGGTAATTACGAACGAATAACTTAGCGCCTGGCGCGAACTCGGCGGCTTGAGACTTTGCTACCCGACCGATCAACAGAATCCCATGTAGGTAACTCTAAGTTCTGTCTTCTTTCCCTTGGGTGCTAGTGTAATGTCCCTTGATTCCATTATCTCCAGTTGCATGATCCGTGGTCCCAGACTCCCGCATCCTTGCGGTCCTGAAACCTCCCCACGTTTACGGCCCTGCGGTCCCTTGGTTTCATGGTCCCTTGTTTCCGTGGTCCATCCCGTGGTCCCTTGGTCTCACAACCCATCTCCCCTTGTTCCCGCGGTCATGCAGCTCGTCTTCTCTTGCTCCGGCAGTCCCTTGGCTCCCTGGTCACACAGTCTGTGATCCATGGCTCCGTCTGACCGGATGCCATCCGATCACCGCTGTCCGTAAAAACGGCCGTCTTCACGCCGTTCCGCCGCGCCGTCCCGCGCCGCTCAGCTGCTCAACGCGGCAAAGAATGGCGCTCCCACGCGAACAGTGGCGCGCGCCGACCAGCTGGCGGGCGGGGAGGGGTGGGGGTGGGGCGGGGAGCTACCTGCCGGAGATGGCTGCACTGACGCACACAGCAAACTGTTACTAACCTCGGGAAGTAACAGTTGGCTGCTGTTTGCTGACCGAGCCACGGGAAGTGGCATCAACATTTGATGAAGTGTCTTTGGGGATTCAGACGGGCATCTCATTGACCCCGTGAAAAATATAGATTGCAAATAAAGTAAATACAGTTGGTTCAATCCTGGACCACCGTTCAGTCAGTAATTGTTTTCAATGGATGGAATCTAAACCAGAACAGTCACGCAGTCACTCTATGCTTCAAACGCTAACCATTGAACCGGTGATTGTGAGGCGTCCCTTTCAATGTGACGAACCGGTTCGGCTGTTCGTCACCCGTCACGACGCGTCACAAAGGACCGTGACGCGAGGTTCTCACGGGCCCGGAACGGTGCGGGAGAGCCACACCCGGCAAATCGTCTCGTCAGGAGCGGACTGAGACATCCCGCTGAGGGAAACTGGGCGACCGAACCGAGCTGAATACAGCCGGGCTGCATCTCGGCACAGCTCAACATAGCGACGGTGTAGTCGACATAAAGACGGTGGAGCAGGTCACGCAGACTGTCTGCAGTTTCAGGAGCTAGTTATGGCTAGTGGGCTGACGTGCTCAAGCCATTGGAAGATAGGAGAAAAGGATGAGAGGACAGACGGAAAACCTCTCTGCAATCGGGGAGGAGTTGGTGCGACCATAAAAAGGCTACGGTTGTTACGAAGTAGTAAAAAAGCCTCCCACCCAGATACCATAGATTTCGCTTAACCCGCGCCCTGCTGGGGGGGGGGGTGTTTGAACACCCCCCCCCTTGTGGTTTTTCGCGAATATCTAAAAAACGGCGGCGCTCCCCTTATCATACATCAATTCTACACATGTTGTGAAAATTTCAGACCAAGGTCATTCAAGGTCAGGTCACCAGGTCACTTGAAGTGACCTCACCTCATAAAATGTTTCAATGTCTGTCATAGCTACACCGAGTGACCGATCGCTTTGAAACTTTCAGCGATTGCTAAGAGCAATAGCATGTACAAAATGTATATCTCAGGATTTTGATATCGATGACCTAAGGTCAGGTCAATTTTGCGACCTCCCCATTATAAGTCAATGGGAGAAAATTGAAATGCGTCTCTTTTGGACGAAAGACATTATAAACACTCCCAAACACCGAATTACAAGTGGTTTAGACACACTGAACATGAAAATGGTGTCCGTGACCCTTGTTTATGCCCTGAGGTCATCTTAGGTCACGAATGGTATCTAACAGTTTTTCGCAAATAACTTTTGATAGAGGCATGCTAGAGCGATGAAAATGCCTTATATGTGTTCAGCTCGACGATACGGATCGACTGATATGCAACATGACCCTTTCCGGTCAGGTCATGACCTTGACCTGAGGTCAAATTTTCAAGTTGACCTTTCAAGGTCAAGTTATAGTTCATTCGATGCGTCTTGACGAGAGGAACACGATGCCGGTGAAAGTAAGCTAGTACAAGGCTTGGGTCAAAAGTTATTGCAGAAAAACTGTTTCCGAAAAAATCGGCTATTTTTGCAGTTTTTGCCCCCTGCAGGCAAAACCGTTGACGTTAGGTCAAATCTGAGAGAATTACTCAGAAAGGGCATTAAAAGGGCTATCGAATGCACTTTTCCGCGGCGCTGTAGCTCTATTGGTTCCCGAGTTATGCGTTGGCTTCTTGGAAATTTTCGACATTCGACCTGGAAATCGGCGAAATTTTGCCTTCAATGACCTCTGGTGACCTGACCTTTGACCTGACCAAAAAATTGACCGGAGTGATTTCGTCATTATTTTTGACGCTCTTTCGAACGCCGCCTTCCGCGTATCGCTACGTGGCCCAGGAGCCGAGTTACAAGGGGGGGTGTTCAAACACCCCCCCCCCCCCCCCCAGCAGGGCGTGGAAATCCAGGACCCCCAGCAGGGCGCGGGTTAAAAGGCCTAAAGCAAGAATAAAACTACACGTTTACTCCAGAGTGCTTCAAATGTGATGGACTGTCCTCTTGACCCACCCAGCCACCACTTGTGACCCTCCCTTCGTCTCCCGACCCTCTTTCCTCTCCCCCATATCACCTTCTCTGGGCTGGCGGCCGCGGAGCCGCTGCCCAGGCTGCTCAGTCGTCTGATCAGACCGGGCCGAACCATTGCTGCCAGTGTCAGCATGCTGAATTTGGGCGCCGCCAGACCACTGACCGGCCCACCGTCGGTCGGACTGTCCGGTAACATCGTCCCCGGCACCAACTGAGCACCGACGGCACCAGTCAGCGGGCCACGCCGGCCTCCATCTGTCACCAGCTCTAGCACCAGACGGAGTGGCACCAGAAGTAGCACTAGCACTTGTCGGGAACAGGCAGCACCGATCAGCTGTTCTGAACCAAAACACTGGTGGAGAGTCACCACTCAGTGAACCGACACTAGCAATTGGTGTCACCAATTACCAGACCTTCACCCTGTGACCTGTCACTGATCACCAGCCACTGCAACCGTCACCAGACCGTCACCAGTCACCAATCACCACCCGTCCTCGGACCGTCAGCCGTCACCGTTCCTCGCGTCACCGCCGCCGGCGCCGTACTGAGCCGGCTTCTCCGCCGTCACCAGCACCGCCGCTGCCGCCAGCGATATCCCTCCGCCGCCCGCCGCCGGACCGGCAGCCAGCCGGGCGGGCGACACGACCGGGCGCGCACACCGGCCCGCCAGACCGCGGCGCTCTGATAGGACGCGGATCACAGCGCCTCTCACGGAGTGTCTCTTGCATGTATCCGCGTCTCTCAAATTCTCTCACGGAGTCTCTTGCATGTATCCCTGTCTCTCAAGAGTATCGACCGCGTCTTGCCTCTCACAGGCTCTCAGAGGTGTCTTGCTTGCGGTCTTGATGTGAGAGAGACCCAACCACCATGCATCAATACGCTACACGAAGAACCCGGATCCACACGAGTTCAACACAGGTGCAACGCGGAACGTGACACCGAATGTGTCACAGAACGTGACACTGAACGTGACACGTTCACCGGCGGAGCGGTCCACGTGCGGTGTGACGCCGTCCGTTCGTCCTCCACCGCTAACGGCGGGCGGAGGGCAGTGGGCGGCGGGCGGTGCCCGGGGGCACGGCACGAGTCATACGTGCTCTCACCGGCAGCGTAGTGGCGGCTAGTGGAGGGCTAGATCACGGGTTGCTGTGCGGACAGAGCTCAGCGACTGGCCCATGGATGGAACCGAAAACCAACGGATCGAAGTGAACTTGTTCCGAGAAATTCACGAGTGGAAGCTGACGCTTGCTAACCGTAAGAACTTTTCAAAGCAACAACACAAATATATGATCACAGAAGCGACGCAAGCACCCAAAATAAACATATCACCATAGCTATAGCCGTCACGAGCCGGTCAGATTGTCAATTCACACTGACCGACCATCCACCCGACCGAGTGCCCCATCTCCACTGAAGCGGAGTGACCTATCAGGAAGCGGGGTAGTTCATCCAGTGTTTTGTCCACTCAACTGTATCGTCGTCATCTCTGATACACAAGGCACTGGACTGTATCGGCGTCACCTCTGGTACACAGGTCACTCGACTGCGTTCTGTCAGCTGTATAGGCGCCAGGTTTGCCCGGCACCGGCCGTGTCTGGCGTTGGATCCGCCTAGCACAGCTGAGTCCGCCCGGCTATGACCGCGTCAGGTTTGCCTAGTGCACGGGTCATGTCTGGCACTAGGTCCGTCTGGCTCAACTGCAGTGAGCTCGGCTGCAGTGAGCTCAGCTGTGTCCGGTGAGCGCTGAGCTGCAGTAAGCGCGGCTGTGTCCGGTGAGCGCTGAGCTGCAGTGAGCTCGGCTGCAATGAGTTCGGATGTGTCCGCTGGGCGTTAGGCTGCAGTCCGTTCAGCTGTGTCCGCTGAGCGCCGAGCTGCAGTCCACTCGGCTGAGTCCGGTCAACTGACCGCGGTGTAACGGTGACCGGCCACGGGTCAGCGGCTGCTCACACCGCGAGACTGGGCACACAGCGCGGGGTGAGAGAGCTGAGAGCTGGATGGAGGCAGAGACCAGCCCATGGTCCTCTCGGAGCCCACGGGGACCAGCTTATTGACCTCTCAGACAACAGGAACCACCTCATGGTCCTTCAGGGAACCCGTAGACCAAACCATGGTACTCTCTGAGACACCGGAGACAACTACCCGTCACAACGCCTAGCCGTGGCAATGATGGTCCTCTGAGGCCGTGATGGTCTGCTATGGACACCAGGGACCACCTCATGGTCCCACAGACCACAGAGACCACCTTATCGTCCTCTCTTACACCTGTGACAACCCATCATAACACTGCACCGTGACAGATCGGTAACCTTTGTCCCTGTCACTCATCTCAGTGAATCACTACGATACCGAGTTCCGATGTCAATCACGATCCCAACAATCTTATCAAAGTGCGTCACAGTATCCCTCGGTCGATAGCGTGGCGGGCATTCCGCGCTGTCGAACGGTAGTCGGCGCGATCAGGCCCCTCCCCTTACCACCGCGGCGGAGGCTGGTGTTAGCCACCATACACAGCGTTGCAGTTCCCGAGCGGAGACTGCAGCTAAGCATAGGAAACTATCACCAATAGCGGGGAAACTCCCTATTCCACTCCAAACCTGCACTCCTCTACCCACCCAAACCAGCTGTGTCATCCCAATAAATTAATAAAACTAACCAGCCAGTCTGCCGTGCGTCACGGCGCTTTACACCTTCTTGCCGAACACATCCGTGAACCACGTCGACTCAGAATTCACATCACATCTCAGACGGCCCGAAACGCTCGCCGTCCCTCGTCGCCGCTGTGCCGTCCATCACCGGTAACATGATGGCTGATCGGTTTACGGCGGAGCTGCTAGTCCGGACACGGCGAGGGAGTCGTAAATAGGGGGTGAGCAGGCTTGTCTCTAGCTGAGGTGGGGGAGGGGGCTCCCAACGATGACTTAAGGCATTAGGGTGGTTCGAACACCCCTGAATAGCACGGGGAGGGAGAATCTGCTGTGGCAGGTAACAGAGATAGATGAGCAAGCAGCCAGACCGAGAAACATCGCTTGATTTTGCAAAGTATTTGCCAAAAATAGCTCCACAGACTAAAAATTCAAATCACGAACACGGTGAGAGGCGGAAATCCAGGCCATCACTGCCGTCACGGGCGGCACGTGTCGCCGTGACGGCAGTGACGCCCGTGACGGGTGACGGGCGTGAGCACAGACCGGAAGGGTGGCGGTTTCACCAGGGATGGTTACGGTAGAGCAGGAAAGTAAGTCCCCAAGAGAGAGGCAAGTCGAGCCATGAAGTATTATTGTCTGATTTTTAAACTCTTTAGCACAATGGCTGTAAATTGTAATGCCGTTTATATCCTAAAAACAACGGTGATTTTTAGAGCCATTTTCTCTTTACCCCACTCACGGCCAATCCTTCATTTCCTTGCCCGTAAACAGCTTACATAATTAAAGGACTAGTGAACAGCTCACAGCATCCTCAGAACGGGCCGGTGCATTTCGATTCCCGTTCTTGAATGCCCGGCGGCCGGCTCTGACTCTAGGCACTCTACATGGCTCGCTCTGGCTTTGGTCGCCCAGCGACAGTGCGTGGGCGACCGACCAAGAGCCGGGCGGTACACGTGCTGCCATCTATGAGCCAGACAGCGAACTGGCGTGTTGTCGCCGCCCGCCGCGCGGTGGCCCCGGCGGCGCTCCCGTAACCAAACGCATCGAGACGGGTAGGTATGGAAGAGGAACAGTTGCTACTTGCTATAAAACTAAATAAAAGCTTTTCAACATGGAAATGGTCCACCAAATTGTACATGAAAAAATCATGAGCTAAGGGCCTTTGCAACAGCATTCGGTAAGACAAAATACCGTAAAAAAGATGAATGGTTTCAATGTTTGCAGACGACGACCGAGTTAAAAAGCGGAGATCAGAGTGCAGTGGCGCCCAGATCTGGGCCAGCAGACCGCTCCGGCATCCAGCGATGGTACGATAGGGTCCGAGCGGGAGAGCTGCCCGCGGGGAGGCATGAATTCCTCCTGCAGCGGCGGACGGTGCTGCTCATGAGCACGACTGATAGAATAGAGCTGGGTGAAATGGAGAGCTGACATGTCTCTAAAACCAGTTGCAAAACATTATATGGTTCGGGATAGTGCACTTTGAAGAAGAATGTTCTACCCCCTAACCTTAAGCTCTTTCCACTGATATGCAGTCAGCAGGTCCCCAAATTTATCGGGCTCAATAAATGTGATTTGGAAGGACGGTAAGAAATTAAGCCGTCTTAAGCTGACAGTAAATGCATATTGTTTGACACCCGTCCAAGATTGTGTAATCTGGAGATTTCTAGGAATCCGATAAGTGGCAAACTACGTAATCGTTTAATGACAACGCTGCGGTATAATGGTTGAATTGGATACCGCACATACCAAAACTATGCCTGGTATAATCGTAGAATTAAGCCCAGGTCGGATAGGTCAGGTTACAGGAGAGGTTAAGGGTCAGGTCACATTCTCAGCTCATGAGTTGTTCTCTCCTCCCCACACACGCAGAATCAGCGACGGGAGAGATGAACAGAAGGGGTACAAACTTCTCTCCTCCCCCCCCCCCCCACACACACACTTACATAGAGCCTCCAAACTAACTACTAAAAGACAGACACACAGGTGTACAGACAAACACGCAGACGTACAGACAAGACATAATGACACACAGACAGATAGACAGCCAGGCAGGCAGACGGACACAGACCAGCTAGAAGAGAGCCGATGCCGTATCCTCACAATTGGAGCTCTCAGCTATGATTCTCCATCACTTTCCATTGTGATTCTCCATCGCTTTCGATTTTTCACTAGTCTCAGCTAAAGGTCTCCATCGCTCTCAGCTGCAAATCTCCATCGACTTCAGCCATGACTCTCCATCGCTCTCAGCTGTGATTCCCCATTGCTCTCAGCTGTGAGTCTCCAGTACTCTCAGCTGTGGTTCCCCACCGCTCTCACCTGTGATTCTCCAGTACTCTCAGCTGTGATTCCCCAGTACTCTCAGCTGTGATTCTCCAGTACTCTCAGCTGTGATTCTCCATTACTCTCAGCTGTGGTTCCCCATCGCTCTCAGCTGTGATTCCCTTTCTCTGCGTGGGTGGATCGCCATCCCTCTGACTGACAGTCGAGGTCGAGCCGACGGGAAGAGATCACTCGCGGCGCCCCACAGACAGCAATGGTATGTAAATAGGGTGCCGGTATTACCACAACAGGTCATGGCTTCAGGGCGAATCAGACCTGAATGAGACCGATCATAATTGCCCAAGGAAGAAGATGTAAGAGAGTTGATTGGTACGAATAGAGCCGGAATAGAAAGGACAAGGAAAGAGCAAGGTAAGAATACGGTGATGAGACCCGAAGAGTGTCGGAGCCGGAAGCCAAGTGAGGCCGGCAGAACAGCCTCACACCCCACAGCACACACAACAGCTTAGGCCCTAACGTCAGACTCAGAACCTTCCGTCTGAAGCATACAGTCAAAACCACATCTCTTGTCAAACGCTTCTAGCTGGGCCTCCATCGTAAAACCCCACTAGCTAAGGCTCT